GTCGATGAAGTTCCATGCTTGGTCTTGCCAGCTCCTTTGCTTTGTCCGTCCTTGTTCACGACGAGTGGAGCGGTCCTGAACTCTGGCCATTGAAGGACTAGGCACTCAGCGATGGTCTCAAAGTCCAGGCTTTGTTGCGTGCCTATGAGGACCATCCTTTGGTCCTGGTAGGACAGACCGCTGCGGTCCAACAGTCGGGAGCCCAGCGAGTCGGAGTCAAACGTTCCACTTATCTCTACTCCGACGGATTTGAGAGATCTCTGCACCCTCCTGAATCTCTGCACATATGCCCTCATCGATTCGCCTTGGAAGCGGCGGAAGGTCTCGAACTCGTGCAGAAATCTCCTTTTTTGGTAAATGAGGCGTTGCTCAAATGGCTTCTTGAGCAAGCTCATGATGACATCCACCCCATCCGGCTTGAAGATGTCCTCAATGGAGAGGTGTTCCAATTCTTGTTCAAGTTCGCCGGTGAGGCCATTGTACAGAATCAGAGCCTGCTCTTTGGGGCTGGCATAGGCTTCCATTTGAAGGCGCCATATGGCAATCTTCTTCGTGAACTTGGCGAAGGCGCGCATGTCGTTCTGGTCGTATTTCCATGTCGGAACAGCGGGTGGCTGCCCCGACTTCCATTTCACTCCGGGCATAGGCCCTTTCTTGGAGTTCCAGCTTGCCGGAGGTGTTGAGGATCCGGCAGCATTGGAAGGTCGGTCTGACCTCCTTGAAGGTGTCTTCACATGTAGGACAGGTACAGGTGAATCGTGGTCAGGTGCACCACCAGCTGGTCGTTGACTGTCAGGAGATAGTGGTGATCCTGATCCGGCCTGGTCAGGCCGTTGAGGAGGGACTCCATGAGGTAACCCAGAATGAGGAAGGTGTCCAGCTCGTGGCCCTCTCTTGTCATCGGAGGGGTCGATGACAGGGTCGTTGGTCAACTGTTCTGATTCGGCTTGTTCATTTTCGTCGTCGTCCTGGCCATGGTCATCACCAGGGAATCCACCGTCTCGTGCATCCTTCTTCCTTCTCCTGCGGCGGGCACCCTTCGATGAAGGTGAAGCAGCAGCAGGGGCATTAGGAACGTACATCCATGTGCCAGTCGAAGTCACGGACTTGGTGGGCTTATCAACCTGGCAGAACTCATGGCTTCCGCAGTCCGAGCAACGCCAACGGCCGATTTGGCCCACATAGGTCGCCCTCGTGGAGTCGCAACGGAGGCACCGCCAGCTCGTAGGAGATGTCGGCGGCTGCTCAACTTCATTGGGCTCAACATGAAAGGTCTCTGTGGTCGTTCGGGCAGGTGGCTCAGGCTCAGGCCATACCGAGTGGTGCGAAGTGGCATCGTCAGCGAACAGGTCGAAGTCGTAGCCATCATCGCCATCATCCTCAGCGGCCATGTCGAAGGTCGGGACAGCAGGCCCAACCGAAAGGAGGGGGATCGGCATCCCTCAGAGACACCTGCCAGAAAAGGCTCCGGTGCCAACTTGTCAAGACGTGTCGTCTCAGCAGCACGCCATTTCCGCACCGCGTGAACGCGAAGGAACGAGTGGCTCGAGGATCCTAGAACCGGGGCCAAAAGGGCAGTGTGGTCAACATGGAAGCGAATGCATGGCCGATTTTCTCACAAACAAACAAAGAAACAAACAAAGAAACAAAGAAAAGAGAACATCATAGATTCGACTCGCCCCATCCTGTTTCAGACTCACCATCCATCCACCGTTTCGCCCATGCTCGTCACTTTGGTGTTCGGTACCCGGGCTCCGGTCGCTCGGCTCCTCGGACCGCCGAGCCAACGATCGAGGCGCTCTCGTAAAGCGAGGCAAGGACAGTGAAGGCCAGGTGGATTGGTTGGGTACACCGAACGACTGGTACATATGTGACACCAAACTCTGCACTGTTAGTGAGACATCGAACGAAACTCTGCACTGTGTCTTCTGGATCTGTAGACCTTTGGAGGGATGGATTGAGGTTCCTTCCCAAAACGGGATCCGCTTCGAGTCCTCGACGTTCGACTGTTCTCCCCCGTTCGTCGGGCCACCGAGGCATACCGCTTACGCGGACGACCTTTCAGGGACCCGACGTTGCAAGGAGCTATACCTTGGCATTGTCTAGCCATGTCCAAGCTCATGCAGTTCTCTCTATATATATAGTTAGTTAATGTTAGTTGGATCTCTAATCAAACTCAGACCAGTGGGAGACACGGCGCCGACTGTGCGCATCAAATCAATCTCAGTGCCCGACACAGAAGCATCTACTGCCCAATCAACTGCCACAACACGGCCACAAATCCTGCATGATTGGGCAGTTCTCATGCCAGTGCTATGTGCTGTACAAGAAAGCCGATGTGCAAATCTCTGAAATGCCGATGGGTTGGCTTCAGAATTCTGCTCATGTCAAGCAACACCAAATCACCTCTTAACCCAGTACAACCTATCCAATTCTATATCATTCTATAGTATCTGATCGCTTTTTCGTGATTCGACCTGAAGTGACGGAAAACCACGTCGTGTGCTCAGCAATCGCCCGGTCTTCGTGTTGTTGAGCTCAGCAATCGCCCGCTCAGCCTTGGCTGCCTGGCCCCGTCAGTCCCGACTCGCTGCACGGGACCGTCCCTTCCGCGACGCCGGAGATGCCGCGGCGTCGAGGAGACGCCGCGTTCGTCGCGTCGTGGCGCGCGGGTCGACCGACGCCTCGCCGTACTGCACGAACGCGAAGCCGCGATGCTTCTCCGTGGACCCGTCCTGCGTCAAGCTGAAGCCAACGGGGGACCGGAGGCGGGACGGCCGAAGCAAGGCGTGGGCGTTGACGTGAGGAGGCTGAGGAGCGGTCGTTTTTCACGGAAGACCTCGACAGGAAGCGAATAATCCCTCCTCTTGTTGAGGCAATGGTGCTCAAAACCTAAAGAAGAGCTGAGGAAAGGGACTCATTCCAACTTTGACTATGGTGCACTGTGCTTTTGGGCCGCATTGGTCCTCCTCAGTCATTTCTGAACAAACAAATTGTGGGTTAGCGCTATTTTGCAAAGCTGCTCAATCTCCCCCCGATGTTTGTCCAACATAGCATGTCAGGCCTTAAACTCTAGCCTATCAATATGTTGTTCGAATGATTTCTGACAGCCCCTCTCATCACATCAGTCTCCATATATTGCGAGGGAGTGTCACTCCAATGACTCAGCTCAATATGTGGTCGACTGCAATGACTCAGCTCCGGAGCACACCGGAGGTCTAATTCTTCAGGGCAGGAGCCCCGGTGCTCTGCAGGATCAGTTCAGTCATCGCAGACACGGAAGGGTAATCGAAGACCAGGGTGACTGGCAGCTGCACACCAGGAAGAGCTTGAGAAAGCTCCTTCGTACACAAGGCATTAGGCTCAAATAGAACCGTCACCGCCAAAACCAAACGAATCAAACTGTAAGGTTCTTCTCATCTTCTAACCAAGCTGAGCCATAGTTAGCCTTAATGTTGCTCTTTTTGATTCTCGACATACTCTTCTAGACTTCACATTCAACATGCTTCGGAGATATGCTGCCGAACACCCACTTCCAGTCACCCACAAGCTGGGCCGTATATCGCCTAAATCTTATAGTAGCAAAGGTAATGCCACCAAGGCACATCACGCATGATAATTGCCTCAGGAAAAAGAACGCATCCAGGTCTACGTGGGTATCCACTGTTGTTTGAACTGAAAAAAAACAACTAAGGTCCGAGCAGAATTGCTGGTCAAGCCTGCTTCCATCAAAGGTGTGTCGGCTTCAATCTCACCCTCGTCTGCACCGGTGATCCTGAGGGCAATCTCCTTCACCTGCGGTCGTGGTTCCAATCGAAAAGAACCTGGACGATTGTGGACACCAAAAACCAAAATATGCTAAAATGGCCAAGTACAGAATGTAACTAAAGCCTTGGCAGGAAAATTTTGTTCACAGCACTCACAAAGAAGTGACTCAGCACAACCCGGTGCTGCACTCCTTTCAGCAACCCCCCGCAGCTCAGTAGCCAAAAGCGCTGCAGAACTAGTCCCACCCAGCCCAACAAAACAAAAACAACATCACGCCACAATAGCCGCACAGCCCGCTTGCCCCCCAAAAAGATTCACACCTCCCGTGCCGTCACCCAGTCCCACCGGTCGCGCCGTGCACTCGCCGGCTCGCGCCGCCTTGCCGGTGACGACCTCGAGGCTCAGCCCAGACTTCACGTCGAGCGCGGGCCCGGCCGGTCCGCGCTGGATGGGTTTGGACACGGCGGCCTGCAGATGGAGCCGAAACCATGGTGACCAGGGTGTTGGGAGAGGAAGGTATCTTATGGTATATACAGACATATATATATATACACTAAAGAATAATGCTATACCTGTGTGTATATAAATATATTACGTGTGTATATACAGATGTATATATATATATATGTATGCTAGCCCCCGCAAAGCCCACCTATTCATTGGAAACATGGATGTGTATGTGTGCAGATTTAACAGAAGCACCAATTGAAGGTAGTTTTTGATGAACGCCTTGAACCTTGCGTTGCATTGACATGGGTGTGTGTGTGTGCAGAGATGACAGACGCACCACTTGAATGTGAAGTTTTCAGGAGGGTCTTGAGTTTGCATCTTGGATGTTGTACCAGAAGGTTGACATGTTCTTAGAGAGGTGACATCTTTTGCAGATAAGCAGGTGACCAACTGACGTAGAACGGTATTGGGTTGTGGCCTGCATGTTCCAAGCAGCAGTCAGAAATTGCCGATTTTCCCCGAAGTCATAAAGTCATATGGTGCTGGCTCAGTTGGCCTTGATGAACTGTGCCATCTCCCACAAACAGAGAGAGACTGTGGCAATCCACATGTCCCGGTTGCGATACCAGTACCCCTACTGCGCACACCGGAGCTTTGCTCGGAGGGCAGCACTTCCGACACGGGATGCCTGATTGATTTGCAGACGGTCCTTCAGGAATCGCCAGGCACGATCGATCACTTGAGTTCCGGCCTTGAGCTAGGGACAACAAGTGGCCCTTCGGCTTGGCCGCGGCACATGCACGAGGAATGAGAGGTGGCTCGTGCAAGACAAGGACAAAAGAGAGTGCTCAAGAAGAAAGGCTTCAGGTCAGGTTTTGCAAAAGCCCAACCAAAAAGTATCCTCGAAGTTGTATTTGTTGTTTTTGGATTTTGTGTTTTGGTTTGTTAGTTTGTTGCTGTTTGTCATTGGGCCGGGGATAATTCGTCTTTTTTATGTGTGTCCTTTCGTTTGTTGTTTTTTTGAAGTGCGAAGTACCTTATTGTTGTTAGATTTGTTCTGCACAAAAATATGCCTAAAACACTGCAAATACCAGAAAATTTTATGCAAGGGTGGGGTTGGGGTGGTAGGTGGGTTAGAGGGGGGGTACCATCACGCCTGGCCGCCTGTGCCCCTTTCCATGCCCCTTCGTTCCGCACCTCCGGTGGTCCTCCTGCATCTTGAGCCTGCTGCCAGACAGGCACCTGTGCTCCACCAGCTCCCGGAACAGGAGGCGGCGGCATGAACTGTGGAGCTTGCTGTTGCATGAACTCCTGGCCAAAGCAAGGAGTTCAGCCAAGGCTGGGCCAACCGCCGGGCACTTTGGCGCCGAGCGTGAGATCGTCGCGGGTCGGCAGAATGAGAACTGTCCAAGGTGGAAGGACGAATTTGAGAAAATGTCTTCCACAAGGACCCCAACTGGACCAGGACTCCTTTTGGCTTCCTTTATAACATGGATTAGATCTCACAAATCTGTCAAAGGCTGTGGGGAAGTGGACCTTCATCGGCATACTCCTCTCCCACATCATGGCGGCTTCACCCGGATCCACGATGCACCAAAAAGCCTCCAGCCGCTTCTCCCCGAAACACATCTGAAACGAGTGAGACACACCCCTTGCCTTTCCCCCTCCCAGGCGTGTGTCTCTTCTGTCTCTGCAAGGTCTCAGTTCACCACTCAACCCATCCATCTGAACATCGATCTCTCCTCCCTGACCTTCCACGATCTCCGTGCACATCGCTTCTCCGCTTCCGCGAAGCAAATGAAAACAAGTTTGAAGCGCGTGACTCTCGCGCGCGCGTTCGACGTCGCGCGTTCTCGGGCGCTGTTGCTTCTCTCCATCCTGGAAGGTGGCGATCACCTCCAAGGCCAAATTCTCCCCCGCCGTGTCGTCCACGTGCCGATAGAGCGCCAGCGCTTCATCCGCCGCCTCGGCGGCCTGGCCGGATCCAGCGACCCGGCACGATTGGTTGAGGAAACACCTGGAATCCAAAACACTTGCCTGCTTGCTTGCTTGCTTGGGGTCGTGTTGGCCGCAACAAGCGCCTTTTGGTGTCGAAAAACACTTGGCTGGGTGCCCTCAGCGGCTGTGAACTAGGCGGTCGAAGAGCTTACCGAGCTCACTGGGCGAAGTCGACTGAGCGAGGAGGAAGTCACTGTAGGGTGGTATCTGTAGAATTCAGTCTCTGGGAAATTGGATGTTGACACCTTGATAGACTTTAGAGGGTAGATGAGAAGGCTTGATTGAACCAGCAACTTGAGGGTTGGGCAGGTCAACTCCCGTGCTCGAGCTGACTGCTGTGCTTAAGCCCATGCTGACGGTGCAACACTGCTCATGCTGCTCTTTTCAACCAAAGAAAAACAGAATGATTTGATGAACCACCAAAGTGCAGAGTGGACCGTTGTTCACCACTGTTGTTAAGAGAAAGAGACATCATGACACACACCCCTGTCGTTCTTCGTCGTCCATGTGGACCGCCTCCTTCACCCTTTCCAGCGCTCGCAAATTGTCGCAGGTCAGCATCAGTGCATTGGCTTCCAACTGGTAGCCTGGACCGATGTGTTTGCTTCGCAAAATGTTTGCAGTGAAATGTTCAAAAGGGGGACTTTGTGCATCGGTCCTGCGGTCTGTGGCAAAGTACAAGCACTGAAGAATTGTTTCTGATGAATAAAAACAGATCAATACCATCCAAGGGACATCCCAAATCCCTGTAGATGAGCACCGCCTCGTCTGCACAGCTCAGCGCCTCGTCGAAGCGTGCCTTCAACGTCAAGCCCTGCGCTCGAGCGCACAGCAGCGAGCCCATTAGCTCCGGCGCAGTGGCAAGGCCGTTGTTCTTGGCCAACTTGATTCCCGCCTCCGCCAGCTTGATCCCCTTCTCCAAAGCATCGCGCGCTTGCCGCGGGACTGGCTCTTCGCTGAAGATCTTGGCACCCTCCTTCACGGACAGACGCACCGCGTTCTCAGAGATCATGTACATACCTGGGGCGCTTTTGTCGTAAATTGACCCCAAAATCGCCTGCCTACAATTGACCTCACACCTGCACAGGTTTCCAGTGTTTGTCCTTATACTGCCCAAATGCAAGCGATTTCGCCCTCCGTCTTGCCAAGCTCTCGGTACAATGCTCTGGATTTCTCGGCAAATCGGATCGCTGACTTGAATTCATTCTTCTTCCATTGAATCTCTGCATTCATCTTCAGAGCATCCGACTCACCAGCCATATCGGACTCCTCACCAAAAATCGCTTGTGCCTTGCTATTGTAGCTCGCGGCTTCTTCCACGTTGCCTTTCTTGAATTCCAGTGTGGCAGCAATCAAGAGCGCATGCCCCAAGGCCCGCCCATCATTCTGATGCTCAAAGATCTCCTGCAAAATCCAGGGATTCCGAGATTCAGAGGATCGTGCGAGGCAACAGAAAACGATGCGCAAAAACATGCACAAGCTCTTCAATCCACCTCGGACTGACCCCCGTTTCATCGGCCGGTTCATCGGCTCGAAAAGGAAATGCGATTACAAAAACAAGAAGACTATCTATACTTGCCAAAAAAAATTGTGGAACGTCTGAGCCCAAGATGACTCATTGACTTCGTTGTGTGTGTTGTAGAATATTGGTTTTTCTAGTCACTAGTCCTTGAGCAAGTCCGGTTGCCAAACAAAAGGAGAAAACAAACCAAACAACCGCAGTCCGCAGTCCTTGAATTCCAAGGCCTGATCCAACGCTTCATCCTTATGGCCCTTATGGTATTTCGCTTCGATCAGCACGTGCATCGCCTCAACCTGACCACTGACCACGCGGCTTTGGTGCTTTTTTCGATGCGCGACCGGAGTCTGTTCATTCGAACCGCGTCAAAGCAGAGGTGAGAAACGCAAGACAAAAGGCTGGGTGTCCTCGCAAGCGATTTTATTGCGTTGTTGCGATGTTGAACACATCACCACGGTTGGAGGGGAATCACCATGACCACATCACCACGCAGTGCCCACCAAAGTCCGCGCCTTGTCATCGCAGATTTTCTGTGTTGTTGTGGGTATCTTTTTGAGCATCGCAAAGGCGTCTTGTGCGATGGCGATGGCTTTGTCCAGCTGCGCCATACGCAAGCGGGCACGGCCAACGGTCAGCATCAAAGAGGCCTTGCGAGTTTTCATCAAGTCGTCCAGAAGGGTTCGTGTGAGGTTTGGGGTAGGGTCTACAAGTAGGGTGTCAGAAGGCAAAGTCATAAAGTCCCCACAAAGTCCTAAAGAGATTTGCTGTTCGGCTGCTCTCGTTGATTTTCCAACAAAACGTGGCCCACCAAGCTTTGCCTGTGCAGCTGTATCGCCGAGCTCTTTGCAGACAGTGATTCCACGCTTTGCAGCGGTCAAAGCCTCTTCAACTCGGTTGGCTTTCACGTAGAGCTCCACGAGCATGCGAACAGCCTGCACCTGGGCTGAAAGGCACGTTTAAAAAAGAAAAAAATACCATCATGGTCGAAGCTCCTGGACGACTTACAAACAACTTGCCCTAAACCCTAAACACCTGTTTACCTCAACACAATTCTTCACATCTCGTTCATACATGAAATCGCTCTTTTCACTTTTCACCATCTTTCCAGAAATCTCTCCCCATCCTTCACCTTCACCTCCCACCTTCCCCCACCTGTGCAGGTTTGTCGTTCCGCTCGCGGAAGTGTCGCAGGGCTTCGGCCGCCACCAGACGTGCCTTCCGCATGTCCGACCGCGCCAGGTGCGCGTCGAAGACGCTGCGCAAGGCCTGGAGGTCCGACCGGTGCCGTTTCGCTGGACCGGTGGGCCAGTCCACGCCCGGTGTTTCAAGCCAGGATCGACTGCGGAAGGGTTTGGACGACTGCGGAAGGGTTTGGTCCTTTTTGGAGAAGTGGTGTGTTTTTCAATGGTTTTTTTTTCCTGATGTTGCCATCTCATGCATGAATGGTTACAGGTCGACTCGGTGATACTTGCCTTCACTTCTAATGGGGACTGCAACATCTGGTAGATCTCGAGAGCATCCTCTGCATCCGAAAGAGCTCGGGCATGATCTCCCAGTTTCAGATTCCACTCTGACATCTTCCTTATCCACCGCTTGGCACGATCACTGGGATTTTTCAGTTGCGGATCACTCGGTTTTTCAAGACAGAGGAAAAGGCTGAAATGTTCAGTAATTACACCACCGTAGACCCCAAACAGTTTGTGTTTTTCAAAATCGAAACTAGAGCTTGCGACGTCCAGAGCTGGGAGACAAAGGATTGCAAGGCAGAGGCGGCCACAGCAGCCCAGAGCTGGGAGACGAACGTAAAGGATTGCAAGGCAGAGACGGACACAGCAGTACAGAGCGGGCGGACACATCTTAAGAAAGAATTGAGAAGCCCTGACAGTAAACCTTTTGGGGAATTATTCTTCAAGTGCGAACATGATGCTGGTCATGCTGCTCAATCAGCAAGGAGCTGACCACGTGAGGACAAGAAATAGAAGCATGAGGAGCGAAGGATGTGACATGAAATTGATTTTTGGTGCCTGACGCATGCCCTCCGTCCCAACTGAACAGAGAGATCGCTGCCACGCCGCCGAAATCCAATCCGGTCATTCATCCAACGCTTGCCCGAAAAGGAAAACAAAGCTGAGAGAGTTACACAGTGTGGCAGAAATGCACTCCCGGAGACAGTCACGCGGCAGAAAACAGCAGTGCAGGCACCAAAACCTGAAAGACAAAAAGAAAGAAGTCGCATGGGAGACAAATGAATAGAAATGCTACATGGCCAGCGGAAAAGGGCGGCAGCACCAATGAATAGAAATGTTGCATCGCCAGCGGAAAAGGGCGGACACCAACAGTGACAGACCTGGGAGACTAATGCATGGCCGCAGAAAAGGGCGGACACAGCAGTGATGGTAGACAAATGAATAGAAATGCTGGATTGCCTGCGGAAAAGGGCGGACACCAGCAGTGACACACCTGGGAGACAAATGAATAGAAATGCTTCATGGAGGGCGGACACCACCAGTGACAGACCTGAAAAACAAATGAATAGAAATGCTACATGGCACCAGCAGTGACGGACCTGGGAGACAAATGAATAGAAATGCTTCATGGCCAATAGACAAGGACACACCAGTGACAGACCTGGGAGACAAAAGAATAGAAATGCTACATGGCCAGCGGAAAAGAGCGGACATCACCAGTGACAGGCCTGGGAGACACATGAATAGAAATGCTGCATGACCAACGGTCAAGGGCGGACACCAGCAGTGACAGACCTGGGAGATGAATCGAAATGCTGCAGGGCCAGCGGAAAAGAGCGGACACTGGCAGTGACAGACCTGGGAGACAAATGAATAGAAATGCTACATGGCCAACGGAAAAGGGCGGACACCAGCAGTGACAGACCTGGGAGACAAATGAATAGAAACAGCAGAAAAGGGCGGACACCACCAGTGACAAGCCTGGGGGACAAATGAATAGAAATGCTGCATGGCCAGCGGAAAAGGGCGGACACCAGCAGTGACAGACCTGGGAAACAAATGAATAGAATGCTGCATTGCCTGCAGAAAAGGGCGGACACCACCAGTGACAGACCTGGGAGACAAACGAATAGAAATGTTGCATCGCCAGCGGAAAAGGGCGGACACCAGCAGTGACAGACCTGGGAGACAAAAGAATAGAAATGCTGCATGGCCAACGGAAAAGGGCGGACAACGCCAGTGACAGACCTGGGAGACAAATGAATAGAAATGCTACATGGCCAG